GCCAGGACCCTGCGCTTTGGGATGGCACTTGGCACGAGAACTTGGATCCCGGCAGAAGGCGGCTGGGGGGAGCCTGGGAGAGCCGAGCCGGCTAGATGCGGTAGCACCATATTGTGTTTGATCCATACCCGAGTCGATCATAGTATGCATGATCATACACTTATCGTGCCGATGTAATTCCCAAGGGTTCGGGTTTTGTTGCATTTTGTTGCATAACAGTTATAGTAGTGTATGGCTACAGTGTATGGTGTTATTCCATGTTTTGGAGTGGTGAAACTCTCCAACTTGTTGTACTCATGTGACCTCACAATTCCCTCCCGCGTGGCATTCCGATCGTGGACAGTTTGATGCTGGCTGCGGCCAGGGTGTTCAAGTTCCGGAAGCTGTCAGTGCAGTGATCCGGCTGGAATCAGCAGTGAGCACTGCCCAAAAAGATCGGGGGCCGTACTGGGTGGATCAAATCCAGGGCGTCAGACCCAAGACTTTATCTGGGTGCCTGAGCTAATTAACAAGGGGGTCCCAGTACAACCGGGTATCCAAAAAGTGATTCGGCTTCGGTAATCAGCTTCACCTGGACTGTGGTGCCCGCCCATGCCAGAATGCCCGGTCCGCGATTATGTCCACCAGCAAATCCACCACTACCAAACGATTCTCACACCAAATGCGGCAACCCGGCCAATTATAATTAGATAAAATAGATCGGTTCCCCAGTGGGTCAACGCACCAGTTTAACCCATCCTTTGGACCTTGCTGGGTTCTCATATTTCGAGGTCGAACGGACTCTTGGTATGCCACCGGAACCCACACCTCCCGTCTCCATCAGCTGGACCGCGACCGGTGGAAGCCACGCGACCGCCGTTGGGAGGTGGCCGGAGGAGCGTGTGTGGGCCGCGCTGAGAGGCCGGAGGTTGCTGGACGGAGCAGGGCAGGCGGCAAACCAGGTGATTTGGGGGTCAACGGGGTAGCTTGGTGGATCAGAGAAACATGGTTCCAGTCGTCGTTTGGCCCTGGAGATCCGGGCGCCATCGACCTATCCCCTTACATGAGGATGGATGGCTATTCTATTTGGCTAAGTGCTTGTGCAAGATTCAAGCCTGCTCTTGTCAATGGGGGGTCAAATCAGTTTTAGTTCCAGGTATGGTAGTAGTAGAGTTACCTTGGTGTGGTTGAACACAGGATTGTGAATTCGGATATTGCCCTTTGGACTGAGAAACTTTCCACGCAATGACGCATATAATCGCATGAACACAAACCAACAACATGTCCGAAATGCCAAATGATAGATAGATAGATAGATAGATAGATCATAGATCAGAGATCTATATAGATCTATAATATAAGTAGAGAAAACCAATTCGGGAGGCGGTGTGAATCCTCAAAAGTTTTGTTGTGGTTGCGATGTTCAACTTCAACAGTGGGAACCTAAACTTGTGCTGAGGTTTCAATGACGTTTATGAGTCTCGCCTTTGAAACTATGCTAACTTTTTTCCACATTATGTTGATTCCGACTTCGCTGCATGAATCAGTTTGACTCCATACTCCATACCGACTGTATACACTTGCTTTTGGAGTTGTCAATCGTGAACAGGTGATCATTGGCCAAACACTTACACCTTGGGCACGCCTTTCCTTGGCTTGGTGAAAACACCGCAACACGTCTGGGTCCCCCGACCCTCCGGACACCTTTGCGAGGCGTTGGCTTGGCGCCTTTGCTCGAGGCCCTTCGGCGACCGCGCGGGGTTGGCGGGTGTCGCCTCCAGTTAGCGGGTTGGCGGTTTGGCTAAGGTGGACAGAAAGAAGGATCAAGCAGACAAATTTAGTGCAATGACAATGACACTGCTGGCGGCTGTTTCGTGTGGAATGAAGAACAAATAGAGACCACAGGCAGTGTCCTAGCGTTTGGTAAAAAAATTGGTGACACATCATACCATGTGCGTCATATCGGTTGGCAGACAAACCATGCGTGAGTTTCTCAGAGGGACAGCTTCCAACACGTAGTCACGTAGCATGCAGAGGAGCATGCTCTTCCCTAGACGAAGCCTTCCAGACCTTCGTCGTTTTCAGGAGAAGTTGAAGCTTGACCAACATGCAGAGTGCCTGTAGTCGATGCTGGTTTAGACATGTTTAGACACAACGTGAATGGCCCATGATCAAATGATCTGTGTTTCATTTCGTTGTATTAAACCTGCAGGAACCTACACCAAAAGCGCAGGTGCTCATGTTCTTGTCCCAAAGCGTGTTTCACCAAGTCCCACACAAAACATATTAATCAATTCTTCTGCATGACAAGTTTAAAAGTCAAGCCTGATTATGAAGGTCATGGGTCGTGCATTGGTAGCATTTTCAGCCCACTGCTACCAGATGAAGTGTTCAATTGGACTTTGGCAGTGAGAAAGACCAAACCTCCCGCTTTCTGAGTTTGAACACCGAGGATGTATGAGCATGTTGTGATGAATTAGACCAGATCAACACCAGCCATCCAAATCTAGAGGAGCTGAAGGTCATCCAGCCATGGAAGTAGGACTTGTGGTGTGGTTGGTTGTCCCACTAAAAGTGACTCGGACTCCCAGATCCGGAGAACTCCAGGCTAAGTCCCATCATCTTGGGGCTGCTGGGTGTTAGAGTTACTAGGTGGTGGTGTCGGATATATTTGATTCAGCCTTCACTGCCGATGATCGAGTTCACTGACTATATGATATGTTTTTTCAAGTGAGTTGAAACAACCAACCAGGTTAGAATCCAGGGGTAAATCATCAGCAGCCGCATCATGTTCATCATCATCATCATCATCATCATCATCATTCATCTCCATGTTAATATCCTATTTGACTTGTGTGGTGGGCATGCAAGTTGTACACGTTGAACCTTAAACAGCGAGCTGCTACAAAGTCACATTAGTTACGTAGTCCAAACTCATGTTCTGGTTTCATCACCAGTACGTATGATCGAACTGTTCTATATTACATGCTCCTTATTCAATAGCCGCTATCCATGGCTATCCAGCAATCATGGAAGTCTCGTGGTCACAAATGGTCAGAAGACGAGCCTTCTCTACAAACAGGGAGTTTCCACTTCCGTCGTTCACATGTTCAGTGCATCCCCGTCCAATTCACTCACCCAAGTCACGCAGAGGACTTGGCCGAGCCTTTACCCAGCTTGGCTTTGTACCAGAGGAGCGGGTGGGGCATCGGTTGCCCCGTGGGCCTGAGCGGTAACCGGGGCCGCAAACTGGGTACGCGGGTGGGGCCAGGGTGTGGAAACTGGGAGGTGATCAGCAGAACATGCTCACAGAACCTGTGAGCCATGATCCAATCCGCAGGTGCTGCTGACATGTTGTCGGAGCCAGTCGGGGGCCAGGGCGATCCAGTCGCTTTTGGCCATGCCATGCCCATGTCTTTGGGAAAACTTGCCTGAACGGTACTAACGATTACTGTACACAGATCAAAGTGACGCTGAAGCATGACGGAGAGGAGACGTGCATAAAGTCTTCAATGACATGTCATCACTGTCCCCTCATGATGTCTAGCGCAGCCATGCCAGAACAACCTCCGACCACCTCCTATATGTAGTCCTTTAGGGCATGAGACATGTGAGTTGTGGAATGTTGCGGAGGGTCTCAGGGAGCATTGCAGCACAGCAGAGATAGCTAGATGACATGTCTTTCGGGGTCAGTCATGGCAATGTGGATCACATTGAAACACATTGAAAACATCCAATGCATGGGAGGTCCAGCTTTAATCAGCTTCGACCAGCTGTCATTAGCATGGTTTACACATGTTGTCAGTAGAGTGATCCTTCAGTAGCAGTGGGCTGAGAGTGAACCATTATTTGTTGCAGGACTTGTACTGTATACATACAGAGGGAACAATAATAAACATATTCATATGTGAGTATTTGATGATATTTGATGTCTTGGATTACGCAGATACACGTGCTTTTTGCAGTCCTCCCCTCCGCCCTTCCTTTTCCTTCCCTTCCCTTCCTTCCTCACTCAAGTAGGTTTGTTCTTTTGTTGGGTTCATATGTTGTTTCTTTTTGTATGACATATATAATGCAAAATCATTTTAGCCGGTGGCTGGTCATCAATGTTCTTCATCCACTGATACCGGTGAGTTTGAAACCGGCTGTGCATAAAGCGGCAATATAGCGCATCTCATCCACTGAGAATATACATACGCGAAAAGAGGTGCTTTCCTGCAGTGCGGCACCAGCATGCTGCTCAAGTTGCGCCACCAGTCGTCTACACAGAAAAAATCATGAACATTGACCCACAAAGGACTCTTTTCAAGACAAGTTTCCTCTATAGTTGGGATCATTGTTTGTGTGATTGCTGATTTACCAGAAGCACAAGAAGATTCATATTCGATACCGTTGCCTATGATATGCCATGATCTATTCATAACTATGCCTTCATATACCTATGATGCCACTATATATATACACATTCAAAGATGTCAACACCAAATGGAATACTATTGCAAAGTCACGTATTGGCACTAGTATTCACCACAACTTCTTATCCCGGCATGATTGAATACCATCCCACAACTTCGTTCATTCTGCTCCACGTGTCGCCGGTTTCCGCTCCCGACCCTCCAGGCAGCTGCTCGGCCTGGCACGGCATCAGCTTCATCGGGGCGACGTGGTCCCCATCGCCGAGGCGACGGCCAGGTCTCGTCCGGAGTCGGTTTGAAGAGACAAGGGTGGCGAATCATATCAAATGGATGATTGTTTGCTGGAATTGGCTGGAAGTTCGTCCTTTTGCTCGATGTGTTGGGTTTTTGGGGCTGTTGTTGTTTTGAGATTCGCGGGAATCGAGGGCCTCCGCGCGCCTGTGGGGCCGAGCTTCGGACGTTGTTTTGGAGCTGAGCGGGCTGAGAGACCAAGAGACCAAGCGACTGCCGCAGCCCAAAAGAAGCATGACCAAGTCCTGAGTTCACTTGCCACAAATGGATACAGAAAAATCCAAGGAGACTGGGTGACTGGCCAAAAACTTGAGCATTCAATTGGAAATGGGGCGCTCCATGAATTCAGATGATTTCAGATCACACCTACCAAAACCGATGAACCTCTCATGTGCACGTTTGGTTCCTGTCGCCCATGTGCCATGCGCCACTGGACGCATGGACACGCATGGACTGCGCCAGTCTCGACGCCGCTGAACAGCGGAGATGACACTCGGAAAGGGCCAGGGAGAACGCTCCCAGCAACCCAAGTCTTCAGATGAAGACAAGGGTGCAAGACAAAACGGTAGGTGCTTGCAGACGGCATTTGTCATGCATTAATTTGTCTATCATTTTCCCCTGGCGTATCGAGGCTTCGAGCCACAGCTGTGCTGATAATCTTTTGTAGACCTGTTGAATTCCAAGAATACATTCCAAGAATTCTTAGAACAAACAGGTCAATATCAGACAGTAGACTTTAAAAGCTTTTGTAGACCTTTTGTAGATCCTGTTGTTCTTCTTCTCAGCACATCACAGACCTTACAGTAATATCACGTGAGCCGTGAGCAGGTCTGGTTGTTTCGTGATCGAAGGCGGCGAACACCGACAGGACGTACCCGGACGTGGGCGCTTTTAAGGTTTGGGCGCACCAGGCCCCAACCTGTAGAGGTGCAGATTTTGTTTGGCCACCTGAAGACGGTCTTCCTGGCACCTTGAGTAGAATTGTCCAGGATGTTACTCACCATGCGGACGTTGAAAAGCGCCTGTTTGGCGAGAACCCTTGTGCCTTCACTCCTCCCTTTCAGGACTCCTTGGTCGCGCTGGGGTTCACACGATGGCCGAGGCCATCCTGAAAAAGTCGTCCCCATGTCATTGCATGTTTGCTGCTGGGTTTATTGAGGAATCAGCATGTTGTGGGGCCACAAAACTTTAACACAAAACTCGCCCAAACCAGACCATGTTCAATCGGTTCAATGACCGGAGCTACAACAAGCACAATTTGGCCGCACCCGGCATCTGAGGAAGAGGCCCCGCGGCTCGAGCTGCGCGGTACTGGAGGCGGATCGTCAGAAAGCGCGGAAGCTGCTGGCGAGTAGTTTCCAGGAGCAAAGACGATCAGCTGTGACCCAATGAATCCTCCATGGATATCTGGCTGTGAAGAACTCAGCCTCCATGAAGTTATGTAATGAGTGAAAGACTAAGAGATAGAAGGACACTGACAAACGTGTTTGTTATTGTTCTTGTTGCTCCATTTTTTCAACATTCCTCCTTATGTTTGCTCCACGATTCTATTTTTCAGCCTCCGTGGATGCCTTGTGAGAAGGGTGCTGGTATGTGCTGGTGTTTGGGTGACGGATGATCGCTAATGGCGACTGGAGCGCTACATGGTTTCTGAAGATGAACTAATGTTGGGTTCAGAGTCAGAGAATACAAACAACAGATGCATTGGGATGAGATGGATGGCTTGTGTGATGTTTCTGTGAAGGGGACTAGATTCTAGATGACTGGATGTGTTTTCAGCAGCAGATAGAATATTTTTACATCATCCCACCCCAAAGTCAAGCACAGGGATCATTAAACGGCCGGCTTTCATATGGCAAGTTGACGTGGCCTTCTCCACCCCAGGAGGGTGAAACGAGTGAAGCTCTTGCAACCGAGCTGGAGGGCGCTGTTCTGGAGCGCTGGGGCGATGCTTGGATGTTTGAACCGATAGAAGTTGAAACAACAAGGGCTTGTTTCTCCCCAGAACGGAAACAATTGTCTGCAAAAAAAAGTTCATCCCTGCACAACTACGTATCAGTCCTTATAGATTTGACACTGAAGGTTTAAACTTGTGATACACGAGGCACAAGACAGACCTAGGACATCCAGACGGACCCAGATGGACTCTCAAATGCTTTTAAAAAAATGGGCCACAGAAACAGGCTCTCGCTTAAACCAACCGCTTTGTTCGCTTCACGCACCCCGAGGCAGCACTCAGCGACTACCGTGCCCAGATGAGAAGCGTCGTCGCAGCTCTGCGGCGCAGCGCGCCGCTGCGACACAGGTGGCGTCGAGGGGTCGGATGTGGCTTTCGGGACCACCTTTGGGGCGCTTGGCGCTTGGAGTACGCCAAGGCGTGGCCTTACTAGTAGGAGCAAGGATGCTAGTAGAGGCTCCTGGCCTTACTACTAGGAGCAAGAAGCTACTAATAACAAGGGCATCGCTACTAGGAGCAAGGACGCTACGAATGGGCTCCTGCCCCAAACGCACCGAGGGCGGCTCGAGGGCGGGTTTCCCGCACGCACCCGAGGCTGTGCTGTGGCGAAGTGGACGCTGCCAGGTGCAGCGGGATCGTCCGAGTCATCGGCTTTCCCAGTCATCAGTGTTTGGAACAGGTCCATGTGATTAGTCAGGTGGCCGTGAGTCAAGAGCCAAAGCCCTATAGTTTCTGGTAGGTTGACACTCGAGCCCGTAATTAGGTCGTCTATTCTGTTCATGTTCGGTGGTGGGAAGAACCATTGGGTCCTGCGGTCTGGACCCATTGCCATGGAAAAAAAGGTAAGCCTGCTCTGAGCTTCTCGTTGAACACCTGTGGTTAGGTACAAAGACATAGTGCACACCCTAGGCTTTGGGTCACCTCTTTTTTTGAGGTTGGTGACCGCAGGCCGAAGCTCCACCGTCAAAGGCATGGCCTCATATGGCCTCACTGGGCTGATCACCCTTTGCCAAGCATCGCCTTACAGTCAATATGAGGTTCAAAAGATCTGATGAACTTTCAAACAAGTCAGAATCTACGAGGACAAGGGGTGTCCATTAGTCAACTACTCTTGGGGTGTCTATATAGTAGGTATCAGGCTTAGTATCAGGATGTATCAGGGTTTCACCTGAGGATACTTCACCTACTGGCAAGTTTCACTGAAGAAGCTTGGCTCCTGAGTTAGAATCCAGTCAGCTAGGTGGTTGGTTCCTTGAAATAGCGGGTGACCATTGAAACAATAGGTGAGCAGAGATGTGTGTAATGTTTTTCAACTAGGGCCCCTCACTGATCTCCAAGTTTCGGCTCAGCCCGTACGTACCATCACCTTGTAGCACTGAGAAATTGCAACAAACCAATCAGTCCTCTTCAGTTTTGTGTGATGTCGTCAAACTGCTAAAGACCTTCGCCTTGTGTTGCAACAAGATCAGTCCGCAGTCCCCTACTCCACCGATGTCGATCTGTTGGACCTTTTGTTGGCCCTGGTTTCGCTTGTTTGGTGTTTGTTTTTTCCCCTATGGTATCCTGTGGTTAAATCCCCTTCTTGGGAATCTAGTTGTGTTTTTCCAGGTTCCTTCATCAAATCCTACCTGTCACCTGCTGGAGCCACATGTCGACAGGCTGTTGGATGAGCCGGAGCTGCTGCTGACAGAGCAGCAGCGGGCACAGCAGGCGACGCTGCGGAAGGCGCAGAGGGGTTCGTGGCGTCGCGTAGGAGTGAGTGAATTGGACTGAATTTGTGCATGTTGTCCTCGAAGCTCGTTGGCTCCCACTAAAAACTTGGTCTTGATGAGGAGTAGTGAAGCATAAACTCCACAACTCACATCCGGTCAAAGACGACCTGGAGCTCTGGCAGAGACGACCAAACGCATCTCGTAGACCCATCATGGGCGAAGCCTGGAATTCCCACGAGCTTAAGGCTCAACAGCACGTAGGTCAACGGGTACCCACATTTCAGAACCGATCAGGGAGAGCATGTCCTGCTAACTGCACACTTCCGATCCAATCAGAAGGTGTAGTCAGTGTAGTCCAACAAAATCGACAGCAAATTAAACGTGAAAGCGTCAGAGCTGGACACACGGAAGGACCCACTGGATTCGGCTAGACAACTTCCAAAACTGACTCTACAAGGTCAAGGACCAAAATAGCATGTCTACCGCAGGTCGCCATGGGGATCAAGCACACATTGTTGTGCGTTCGAAGACATCGGAAAACATATAGCCTCCTATAGGAGTCTGTCTATTACGAGACGTAAAGAGACCAGGTGTGCACCACATGGGTGAGCGAGCGGCAGGGACGCGGCTACCGTCCGCAACCCCAGACCGACGCTACCGTCCCGCTTCATCGGTATGCACTTCTAGAAACGATAGAGGATAGCTATGGATAGCTCGTGGGCTCCCACGATAGGAAACAATATTCCCTACTGCTCGTTGGCGACCTCGAAGATGGTGATGGTATGTGATGGTGGGTGGTGGGGGGGGTCGAACCACCGGTCACCTGAGGAGATAGGCCAGCCCCAAAAAGGGGTTCCCTGGGTTGGTGTGCATGAAAAGTCATCAGGGGAGGGATTCGAAGTTTTTGTCGATGTGTGTTGTTTTTTTTTCCGGTGAATGTAAGAAGGATGTTCATGTAATGTAATGTATGTTGAGAAAGGTGCACATATGTGGAGTCTGGGTCTATGCGCGATGAATATTTAATGTCATATGAAATGTAATGAGTATTATTCCAACAATCTATTCATGAATTCATGAATCAAAGTCTATAGAGCACAGACCACAGAAAAACAAAAAACAAAAACATGCAAAAAGGAATGCCATGTAAAAGAAGAATCCATCCGTCGTTTGCTAACTGTCTGACGTTTGCCCAGCATATGTGTTGCCAAAGCTGGACCGAGCCAGGAATCCTTGGAGCGATGCTTGAACACCTCCTTGGGCCAGTTGGGTCTTCGGCCTAGTCAGACCGATTGGATGATGTTCGGGCCCGGTGCGGTGGAGCGTTCGGGATCACTTGGCGTTGGATCAGCTGAACCTTAGAGGGTTGGATATGACGCGTAGGGCTATCCAACCCCCAAAAACACGTCACCATGTTGTACTCTAAGTTAAGATCATCTGAGTATATACATGATTTATAAGTGGACAAGTATCCAAAATGCACGTGACTTGTTTACAGTGATTCAGGTTTGGAATGATGCCGAGATCCCCAAACAATGTGATTGATAACTATATAGCGTATATGGTTAAATGCCCCCATAACTAAACACGAATCAGTTTCACTTTCCACGGAGCTTTGGGCTCGAGAACAGGGTATGCTGGCCTGCGGTCGCTGCAAGAAGTGGCGATTATTAGCAGGACAGTGTACGGTTTGCGCGTCCATTGAGCGCCTTCGTGCGGCGGCAGGTAGCGATCGGCTGCCTACCACTCTGGAAGCCGAGGCCAAGGTCACCAAAGTCCTGGACTCGGCCTACTACTCCATTGCCCGGCTGTTTCCTGAGTCGGACGAGGAGGAGGTATCGAAGGGAGGGGCGCCTCCCAAGAGGGTGGTCGAGGAGAAAGCGGCCAAGGGAGAGGCGTCTCCCAAGGAGAGCTCAAAGGAGAAGAGAAAGAAGGCCGAGGATCCAGGAGAGGAATCAGGTAGCAAAAAGGTCAGCGAGAAGGAAGTGCAGAAGAAGGCAGCTGAGGTGCCGAAGAGTGAGGGAAGCAAAGCATTGCCCAGAAAGAAGGAGGAAGAAGAGAACAGGAAAGCAAGAAGCCGAACCCCGCAGAGACAGAGGGAGAAGGATAAGAAGGACAGGGAAAAGAAGGACAGCAAGTCAAGATCTGTGAGCGGCTCACGGACCAGAAGGAAGAAAAGGGAGGACCATTCTCCCAGGGCTAGGGACAGTCGAGGAGGACACGAGGCAGTTCGACCGAGCAGTGGCATCCAGAGAGAACCATACCTCCGCCCTCGTCCCAGTCAGCGAGAACCTCGTTCACCTCGTACTCCCGATCATCCGCCGCCTAGGACCGCTCTGATCCCGCCTGCCGCAGGGCGAGACCAGCTCCCAGGCAGAGGGTGGCGAGGCCCGGTGCCCTACTCCGATCATCCCAGGTGGAGTGAAGGGACCAACAAAGGTGTGACGAAGAGAGCGAAGCAGGAGCTGTTCGACAGAAGGAACACTCGTGGAAGGTGGTGAGGGGAGTCATGGCTCCCAAGGTGAGACGACCAGCAGCTATGCCGGCGCGGGTGCGCCCTTTGAGGAGGCCTGCACGGGCATCAGAGGCTGGAGAGGCAGAGGCTGATAAGCCGGTGATAGAAGAGTATCATCCCTTGACCTCATTGACGCTAGACAGAATGAAGGAGCTAGACATCGTTGAGCTTGGTGAGACATCGTATTACGGGGCGCATGCCGAGATAGCAGGCCGAATCAGGGGTTTGAAGCCCTCTGATGAGGAGGTGGAATTTGAGTTGACCGGCACGATGACAGACCGCGTGCTGGAACGTTTTGGGGGAGGCCACTCGAGGATAGTGACGGTGCATGCGTGTCCTGCCGGTTGTCCGCAGTTGATGACGGGTGACAAGTTCTTCCATGCCCGAGGTTTTTGGGATGCAGCCGTGGCACCAAAGCCCTGGCATACCAACCTCGTCCCTGCTAAGGCCATTGATGAAGGAGAGGTTGATGAGTTGGCCGGACTTCGTGAGATGGCTATGGATCGAGGCAAGGGGAGGGGAGGTGTCAAACCTCCCAAAGAGGAAGGACAGCAAGAGAGGAGCAAGTCGCCTGTGGTTGCCGCAGAGAAGAAGAGCAAAAAGAGGAAGAAAAAAGAGAGGACAGCAGAGAAAGAGTACGATGAGTTGCTTGCCAAAAAGGAAGAGACAGAGGAGCTTGAGCGAGGGCAGAAGACAGCGCGGGCCCTATTCACCAACACATGCCTGGACCCCAATGTACCCAGGCGCAAACGTCTTATGAAGAAGGCCCGACGTGTGAGCAAGAAGAAGGACAAAAAGCGGAAGAAGTCTGACTCAGGCAGTTCTGGGTCCTCATCAAGCTCATCAAGCGAGACTGAGAAAGGGTCGGAGGAGGAAGGCCCGCTTTTCGAGGAGACAAGGAGGATCAGGAGGCTGAGCGAAAAATGCCCAGGTGCGCTGACGGCTCAGGCGTTGGACAATGTCCGTGAACACCTCCTTTCTTCTCGAGGCGAGTTGCACAGCGTGTCGCGAGATCAACTCAGTCCATTGTTCTCGATGTACACGCACCAACACCTCCAGTCACTTGCAAGTCCGGTGCTTTGGCAGGAGTTGGTGACTGTTGCTCAGGTCTCGGATCTATTGCTCCGAAGGAAGGTGGCAGCTGCGTTGGACGTGCTCGTACAACGTGCGAAGTCACTTGAAGCGACCCTCCGCAGTGGCCATTTTTCAGTTTCGCGCCAGCTGGAGCTAGTCAATGCAGAGCAGATCCGTATTGCAGAACCAGCTGAACAGGTCGAAGCAGCCAGAAGCGCGAGAGATGAATTTCGCAACCGCTCCATTGGCAATCGGCCCTACGGCATGGCTCAGCGAGGAGACGGTGACCATCAGCCCAAAGGACGTGGCAAGCCTGTGCCAACCTCAGAACCATCATACAAGCACAAAGGAGGTGAGAAGGGAAGAGGAAAAGAGAAAGGAAAATGGGGAAAGAAAACAAAAGAGGAGAGTTGAAGGGTGGATCTGAGGATGAGAGCACAGGCATGGGAAGAAAGGTGAGGAGAAAAGAGCAATTGAGGGCAGATGAGTCAAGGAGAGGTCAGAGGCAAGTGGATGAAGAGAAACACAAGGAAACAGAAGACGACAGGGCAATCGAAGAGATGCTGACAGAATGCTACCAGAAGGCTTTTGAGAGTGGAAAGACGCTTAGAGGCTATGACCTTGGGGGTGAGTTCGGAAGCCAAAACGAGCATCCAAGCCCGCCGGGCCAAGGAGGGGAGACCAAGGCTGCCTCCCAGTCTGAGGTGAGGAGTAAGCAATCTGCAGGTATGGACCGCAGACAGCGCCAAGCCTGGATTGGAGAGCAGCCCTACGATGGCACAGGGGAGGTTTGGAGATCCTCCCAATTTGCATGGAACCATTCGCCGCGACTGGCTTTGACGCCGTGCCGTGGAGAAGTTGCTTTGACGGAGCAGATGCACCCAGCCTCATGGCAGAAGAACCTGCGAAGCGCATGTGGCAAAAAAGAAAGCAGTTTGAGGGAGCTGAGTCCGGCACTGTCTCAATCCTTGGAGGTGTTGTCGAAGACCACGCGTTGCGGGCAGTCCACGGAGGGAATTTTTCCTCTTCCACTTCCAGGGACTCTGGGATGGTCTGAACCTGTTGACTCAGCATTGGAGGCTCTTGTTCGAGGGTTGAACAGCCTTTATGGGGTGACCACAGGTGCCAGTATCCAGAAGAAGATCCTGGTGCGCTTGAGGGAGGTGATCAGGTGCAGTGAATGGCCAGAGGTTGTCCTTCCTCCCATAACCTTTCAGGAGTTCTTTGCAACCAAGGGCATTGATTATTCAGGGGAGGAGGTCCGAGTAGCCAAGTCATTTCAATGGAAGATGGTGGCTGCCGCATTTCCCGAGGGTGTAGGGACTTTGGATCTAGAAGCTTTCTGTGAGGGAGGAACTCGGTCGTACGTGACAGACTTCGAGCAATTCCTGCTTCCGCCCCAGGATCAAAGCCTCGGGAAGACCCCCTCGATCATGGTCAACCAGGAGCACTGGGCCGAGGTGTGCCGCGGCCTGATTGAGAGAGGAGTTTGTGGGGTGATGAGACGTGAGGACCTGTTTCATGTGGGGGGTCGACCTGTACTAAACGGACTTTTTGCCGTGGAAAAGGGTGAGAAGGCAGTCGACGATAGAGGTGAGGAGTTTGAGGTGTGCCGGTTGATCATGAATTTGGTTCCGACCAATGGTCTCTGCCGTAACCTGGTGGGAGACACATCAACCCTACCCACTGTGACAGGGATGTCAGGAACGGTCTTGGAGGATGGTGAGTTGCTTTTGACCTCTTCTGAAGATATACGTTGTTTTTTCTATCTCTTCCGAACACCTCCGCAATGGCACCGTTTTATGGGGTTTGGACGGGAGGTCCCTGCAGAGGGCCTCCCAGAAGGATATGCAGGAGGTGGCTGGCATCTTGTAAGTCGGGTCTTGCCGATGGGTTTTGTGAACTCGGTGGCGATAGCTCAACATGTCCATCGTCGAGTGATTCATCAGGCTTTAGGTGGAGAAAGGCACTTGCCCGGAAAGGAGCAAGAGATCCGGCGTGATCGACATCAGAGCACGGCATCGCACCAGTTTCGAGTCTATCTGGACAACTATGACGAGTTGCATAAAGTTGACAAGAGGACAGCAGAGATGTTGAAGGGGTCGCCCTCGGCGTGGAGTTTGGCTGTGCGTGAGACTTACCAAACGCTGGGGCTACCCCGACATCCCAAGAAGGCGGTTACCCAGGAGGTGCGCGCAGAGGTGCAAGGAGCTTGGGTGGATGGAGAGCTAGGGCGTGCCTCACCAAAGATGGAGAAGGTGGGAAGGTATGTGAGGTTGGCAGTTGAGATCTGTATCGCAGGCAGAGCGTCTCAGCGTGAGCTACAGGTGGTTGGCGGTGGCTTCGTCTACATTGCCATGTTCCGGAGACCCTTGTTATCAGGCTTGAATGCTGTATGGAGGCAGGTAACTGAGCTAGGGGCCCTGGGGCCGTTGGTGAAGAAGCCCTTGCCGGTAGAGGTGGCACTAGAGTTGCTTCGCTTCGTGACCCTGACGCCACTGGCCTACATGGACTTCCGCTTGACGACGTCGGAGATAGTGACGGCGAGTGACGCCTCCACCACAGGCGGAGGTCTTTGTGTCACTAGGGAGCTCAGCCCTTTCGGAGTCGCAGCATGTCAAGCAGAATGCCGAGGTGATGTGGTTGAGCCCGAAGAGATGGACCAGGTGCTTGTGGTGTCGTTGTTTGATGGTATCGGTGCTCTGCGTGTGGCCTTGGACGCTTTGCGGGTGCCTGTGGGAGGTTACGTGTCGGTTGAGATCTCCCCCGAGGCGAATCGGGTCGTTGAGTCGTACTTCCCGGACGTGGTCTGCGTGAGTGACGTGGCGGACGTGACGGACGAGTGTGTGCTTGGTTGGAGGTTGCGTTTTGCCAACGTTGGCCTGATCTTGTTAGGTGCTGGACCACCGTGTCAAGGTGTTTCGGGGTTAAACTCCGACCGAAAGGGGGCTCTGAGAGATGTGCGATCATGCTTGTTTCAACATATTCCCAGGGTCGAAGCGCTTCTGAAGCGGCATTTCAAGTGGTGCCCCGTCCACCGTCTGATTGAGAATGTGGCATCCATGGACACCCGCGATTGCCTCACCATGTCGGAGGCTTATGAGACGGTCTGTTGGTGCATTGACGCGGGAGGAGTCAGTTTGGCCAGACGACCACGACTGTACTGGTGCAGTTGGGAGCCCCTAGAGCTAGAAGGCGCTAAGGTTGTAAAGGGGAGGGAAGGTGCTCTCCCAGTGCAGGGAAAGATAGAGTTGCACGTGACAGTTGATGAACAAGACTTCCTCGAGCCAGGATGGCGTCGGGCGCGGCCCGAAGGTTCATTGCCCACCTTTACGACATCTCGACCTTCCGCTGTGCCAGGACGCCGCCCTGCCGGGTTGGCCCTTTGCCCGCCAGACGCTGTGGCTAGGTGGAGTGCAGACCTACATAGGTTCCCGCCTTACCAATACCGCGAAGAGAACTGCGTGGTCAATCGCCAAGGTCAGCTTCGTGTGCCATCCATTAAGGAAAGAGAGGTCATCCTTGGGTTCCCACTAGACTATACTAGAAGGTGCATGGTGAAGAGTCTGGAGGGAAGCATGAAGCATAGTGATTGTCGCCTTAGTCTCCTGGGGAATAGCTGGTCCATACCGGTAGTCGCGTATCTTTTGTTCTGCCTCTTCAGGACCTTAGGTATGCTACCGATGATGGATTTGGCATGCTTGGTGAAGCGCTTGACGCCAGGGCGAGAGCAACAGCTGTCCAGTTTACTATTGAGGCCGCCGTTGAGGCAAACCACAAAAGCAGGAGAGGAGCAGACAGGCTTGGTGTCGCGTCTGTTAGGGCAGATCTCCGTCAAGGGTGAGGACATTTTGCTACAGCTTGGGACCGATTTGCCAGCTCGCTACCATAGGTTGAGAGCATCCATTCCCAGCAAGCTGTGGCGATGGAAGGACGTTGCAGGTTGGAGGTGGACCGGCGACGCGGAGCACATCAATGCCCTTGAGTTGAGAGCTGTCAAGACGGCCCTGGTCTGGCGGCTGAAGGAGTTGGCAGACAGCTCATGCCGCTTCTTACATTTAGTTGATTCATTGGTGGTGTTGCATGCCTTGTCGCGGGGGAGGTCATCAAGCCGGAGATTGAGACGAACCTTGTGTCGGATCGGAGCGCTTCAGTTGGCAGGTGGTTTAGTTGGTGTTTGGGGTTATGTGGATACCCACCAGAACCCCGCAGATCGGCCTTCGCGCCGCCCACTCCGCAAAAAATGGGGAAGAAAACCACGAAAGTAATGGAAGGAAGAAGCCAACAGGAGCGCAAGAAAGTCCGCAACAAACTAGGATCCCTCAAGGGTTTGACTGTGCAACCTCGCACCCGGCAACGATACACCGAAAGTCTCAACAAGTTCTTTGACTGGATGGCAGGGGAGGGGTTAACCCTCCCAAAACAGCAAGCTCGCTTAGACCCTCTTGTCAGTGACTACCTTGAGCACCTCTGGGCTTCTGGAGAAGGAAAGTCCGTGGCCAACAATACCTTGGCCGCCTTGCAAGACCGCGACCCTTCACTCAAAAAGAAACTCCCGGGCAGCTGGAGGCTGTTGAAAGCATGGAGTACGGTGGAGATCCCCAACAGGGCACCTCCAATGACGGTGCAAATTCTTGATGCTTTATGCGGTTGGTCCCTGTTCCACGGCTGCCCAGAGTTCGGCCTTTCCTTGAGGGTTGCTTTCTTCGGATTGCTCCGAACTGGAGAACTACTGAGCCTTCGGGCGAAAGACATTTTCATTCCTGGACCTAAGGGCCCTGCTGTTCTGTCCCTTGGACTTACGAAGGGAGGTGCCCGTCAGGGTGCAGCAGAGAGCGTTACGCTACATGACCGCTCTATCCTCCCATCTTTGTGGAAATGGAAACAGTCTGCTAGTCCGTCAAAATTTTTAACTGCTAAGCCACACGCCTGGAGGGCCATGTTTACGAAAGCCAACGAGGCACTGCGTTTGAACGACCTGCACTTCAGACCCTACAGCTTACGTCGCGGGGGTGCGACGTTTTGGTTCAACCAGCACGGTTCGTTTGATAGGTTGCTCGTGCAAGGGCGGTGGGCTGCGGCCCGTACTGCCAGAGTGTACCTGAACGACGGTCTTGCTCAGTTGGCAGATCTGTCTCCGTCGAATTCATTTTTAATTCCTTACCTCAACCTGTACTGTAAGAGCCCAAACCTTGAGCCTGGCACGCCT